TGATGATGAAACTTGGATTTCCTATAGTGTGGACGATTGTGACAAAATTTGATTTTGGCAGAGCTCGAACCAGCGACCTTCCGCGTGTTAGGCGAAGTGGCATCTACGCCATCTCTGAAATGCCATGTTCGACTAAACTAACGGCAGAATCGCAGAGGGTGTTGTGAGAACAGACCCGGTTGTTTCTATCATTTATTTGCTTCTCGCTCCTGATGCTGACGAACTGATGAAGTTAGGCTGTCAGGGTGACACGGGAGTTACGCACGCTGGGACGTTTCATTTTAAGTTCATGTTTGATAGTAACTCAAGAGTCAAAGAATCAATTTTCAAGATAATCAAAGACGGCAGAAAGACGTCGAAGACGTAGAGAGAACGATTTCGCGTAGTCAGAACAAATGACAGGGTTTCTCCACATCACTCGTTGCTTCGCATATCCATTAGCAGGATCATAAAAGCTGGCATGTATCAATTCAATTTACGTTCTGTGGTTAGTTCCTTCTTTGTTCGGAAAGTCATAATGACAAAAAGATCTAAAGGAGCCTGAAATATTGTTTTCAAAATTACTGGTTCTCTAAGCCTTTCCTTATACAAATGTCCTCGGTAGTATAATGGTCTCCCCCGGTCTCCCGCCTGTAACGCGGGAGACCGGGGTTCGATTCCCCGCTGGGGAGATATTTCCTTTTTCTACAGGAGATTAGAAAAATTCCCATTTTTATGTGATTAAAAAATCTTAGCGGTATTCATGACAAACGAATTTGGAATCTTTGTGAGGGCATATGAAAACGGAAGAAACAACCCGACCAGTGTCATCAGAGGGAGTAAATCTAATCAACTTTGTACTATTGCTCAGATCCTTCTCGAGATGATACAGGGAGGATTGTTTAAGCTTTCGTATATCTGTTATTCCTTCTGTTTGTAGAGATAACTGTATTCAATATAGTTTACTAACTCCCACTGAGTTATCAGGTGCAGTTTGCAAAATGTTTTGGCCAACAATAAAAAAGGCACCGATCGGAATCGAATCCACGACC